TGGTTGTGGTTGTGGTTGTGGTTGTGGTTGTGGTTGTGGTTGTGGTTGTGGTTGTTTTTGTTGTTGTTGTTGTTGTTGTTGTTGTTGTTGTTGTTGTTGTTGTTGTTGTTGTTGTTCTTGTTGTTGTTCTTGTTGTTGTTCTTGTTGTTCTTGTTGTTCTTGTTGTTCTTGTTGTTGTTCTTGTTGATGGTGTTGTTGCTCTTGTTGTTGTTGCTGTTGTTGCTGCTTGTGCTGTTCTTGTTGTTTCTAGTGTTAGTGTTGGTGTTGTTGTTGTTGTTGTTGTTCTTGTTCTTGTTCTTGTTCTTGTTATTGTTCTTGTTCTTGTTCTTGTTGTTGTTGTTGTTGTTGTTCTTGTTCTTGTTATTGTTCTTGTTCTTGTTCTTGTTGTTGTCGTTGTTGTCGTTGCTGCTGTCGCTGTCGTTGTCGTTGTTGCTGCTGTTGCTGCTGCTGCTGCTGTTGTTGTTGCTGTTGTTGTTGTTGTTGTTGTTGCTGCCTCGCTCCCCCTCCATCCTCTCCCACCCCCCCCTTTCCCTGTCCCTGCCACACTCCAGCTACTACTTCATGTGCTTGCTTGCTCCCTGCACTCCTTCCCTTTTTTTCCCTTCCCCTTCTGTCCCCTCCGCCGCTACCCTCCTCACTTCTCCTGTCCCCTCCACCTTCCAGCTGCCACTCCACATCCCGCATTGTTGTTGTTGTTGTTGTCGTTGTCGTTGTCGTTGTCGTTGTTGCTGCTGCTGCTGTTGTGGTTCTTCCCTGACTGAAACCTAAAGGATGTCTGAGGACTTGCTTACTTTCTCCTCACAATCTTTACATGATGGGCATGCAGTCTCAACTGTGCAGGAAGACACTTGTAGTTTCATACGTCTACAGCAGGGGGGTACGGCTCTCTGATGCTACCGTACCCAACGAAGCTATTCGTCAGAGAGGGAAGCATCCACTGGCCATGGATGTGTACCTGCGTTGTTTCACTCAAGGTCTACTGCAGTAACTTGCTGTGCGTTTGTCAACACACAAGCCCTGCAGTTTACAGAAGCAGACTACATGTTTCCCTAAGTTTATGTATGACAAACTTGGGACAAAGCCTTTAGGAAGAATAGTCGTTTGCTATGTGCCGCGTAGATCCTCGCAATCCCCGGAGGGTCTTCGTGTCTATCCATGGCCGCCTGTTTCTGACACCTGCTGGCATTACCATTCCTCTAGCATTGGGTTCGTTTACCCCAATTGCTTTGATGAGGACTTCGACGAGCGGAGCAACATCGATGATGACAACATCGGCAGTCCTCCTCCTAACAGCCAGCCTTACCGCAACCCGAACCTACACTGCGGCAAAGCATGCACAAGCATGCAACGTGTTTCTGGACATTTCCTCCATGTTGTTTGGAACACCCCGGGGTCTTCCCTACCTCCATGCGAGTCATCCGGGGGCTGCACAGCCTTCGGGGCGTAGATATATGTAAGCGGTGAGGCCTGGAGTTGCCATTCCTACCCACTTTTCATTCCGTTGATCCCACACTTGGGGATGGAAGGACATAGACGTCCAAAGAACAAGAGCCGTGGACAATAAGGGGCACCTTCGCCTGACCAGGGGCTATCCGACATTGGTGCTTCTCATCGCGAAATATTGCCGAAGGGGTCCCACGCCCAGCCAAATCGTCATTATCATCTGCAACCGTTTCATCCCCGCAGCGCCGCCGCAAATCCACAGCACGCCGCTCAGCAAGCACGTCAACAACCCTGCAGCTGCCGCCGCGCTGTTTCCCAGCACACAGTGCAAGCGCCAGCGCAGCCTTCATTACCTTCATACATTCTTCACTCTGCGCAATGACCTTAGAACAAACAGAAACGGTGCAGTGGGCTCAGACGGTCGGTTGGCCTGCTCTTTACTCACCAATGTTCGATTTGAGCAGTGGCCTTACAACAAAGACGGAAGCAGCGCAGTGGACTCAGATGCTTGGCGGGCCCTGTCTGGCCTTACGTCCTAAACCCTACTGAAGATTGAGAACTTAAAATTTTCATGGTCGTACTTCTGGAACATGTTGACAAGGATTTGCAGGGGCATGGCGTGATAGTTTTTGCCAGCTAGTGCTGACAAGGATTTGCTGGATGTTTATCGCATGACATCTCATGTTTTCAACGGCCATGCAGGGATTGTCTTGTTGGTTTTTGTTAGCTAGTGCTGACAAGGACTTGTAGGATGTTCATGGCATGATAGCTCTCATGCTCGCAGTGTTCAACGGCCACTGCGGGGTTGTGTAGTTAGTGTTGCCAGGTAGTGTTGACAAGCAGCTGCTGTGCAAGACTAAAGGCTTCCCAAGTTTAACTCGTCATTATCATCTACAACAGTCTCATCCCTGCAGCGCCGCTGCAAATCCACAGCACGCCATCCAGAAAGCACGTCAACAACCCTGCAGCTGCCGCCGCGCTGTTTCCCGACACCCAATGCAAGCACAGCCTTCATTGCCTTCATACATTCTTGACGCTGAACAAGGCAGACACGGTGCAATGGGCTCAGATGGTCGGTTGGTCTGCTCTCTACTCGCCTATGTTCGATATGGGCAGTGACCTTAGAACAAAGACGGAAACAGCGCAGTGAACTCAGATGTTGGGCGGGCCCTCTCCGGCATTATATATCCTAAATCTACAGGAGAATTGAAAGGAATTTTTACGGTTGTACGTTCGGAACATGCTCTGCTCGCCAGTGTTGACAAGGACTTGCAAGATGTTCATGGCATGACAGGCATGACAGCTCTCATTTTTCAGTTTTCAACGGCCACTCGCGGACTGTGCGGTTAATTTTGCCAGGTAGTGTTGACAAGCAGCGCGGTGCCAGATCACAATTTCAACAGGATCTGTTGTCCTTGGTATAATGTTTTGCCACGGTGCCCGTGGGCGGATCCACAGGTTCCCCAAGTTTAACTCGTCATTATCAACCGCAACAGTCTCATCCCTGCAGCGCCGCCGCAAATCCACAGCACGCTGTTCAGCAAGCACGTCAACAAACCTGCAGCTGCCGCCGCGCTGCTTCCCAGCACACAATGCAAGCACAGCCTTCATTGCCTACATGCATTCTTCACTCTGCGCAATGACCTTAGAACAAACAGAAACGGTGCAGTGGGCTCAGACGGTCGGTTGGCCCGCTCTTTACTCACCAATGTTCGCTTTGAGCAGTGGCCTTAGAACAAAGACGGAAGCAGCGCAGTGGACTCAGATGCTTGGCGGGCCCTGTCTGGCCTTACGTCCTAAACCCTACTGGAGATTGACAACTAAAAGTTTTCATGGTCGTACTTTGGAACATGTTGACAAGGATTTGCAGGAAGCTCATGGCGTGACAGTTTTTGCC